TATATTTTATTATATATATTCAAAACACAATATATTATAATATTTTAAAATTTATTCGAATATCTTCTCGATAAATAATCGATGATATACGTTTTATTCCTAACGCGTATAATTTCAAATCACACACACACACACGAATAATAAATAACATAACATAAGATATTACATTCGTTTGATATTTCATATTTTCATCATTTTACGTTAGATAGAGGAAGAAATATTTAAATAATAAAATCGTGTATAAACACGAGATGCAAATTTGGCGTAGTAACATTATCAGATTTAACTGAAAAAAAAAAAAAAAAGAAAAAAGAAAAAATGCTTAAGCAAATGAAAACAAGAAGCAAAGAAAGAAAACAAAAAACCATACTTTTTTATAATACGCTTTTCGTCCCACTAATTGTAAAATGATTATAAATCATACCGGGTTTTATGTACACATATACATATATATATATATACATATACATATATTCAGATAAATAAATTATAATGGCGTCGTTTAGTGACGTTTGCTTACCTGAGATTCGTCGGGAACATGTCGACGATTATGCAGTAAACCAAAGAGATGCCTAGTGACGTCAAAGCTTCAAATATGCACGATAATATTAGATTTTGCGTTGAGTTTATGACGAAATAAAAACCAACGGTTACTGCACCGGAGACGAGCAACGATAAGACTGCAATAAATATCAATTTGTTTATTATTATTAATCGTCCTATCCACTTTGCTATCATTTTTTTGGGTTTCTTCTCTAACATAAATATAACGGGAAACACTTTAAATGTTAAATTAATAATATGAATTAAAATTCTTACTCGCGAGTTATTTTGTTTTTTTTTTTTAAATCAACTTTTTACAAACACTATACCATTTATAATATACAAATTAATAAGTTTGACACACACTATAATTATATATTAATATTTATGATAAATAATCGGTACTGTATATAAAGTATGAGACAAATGACATTTCTCAGATTAAATAGGGGGGGTGGGGGTATAATTATTCATTTTTTTATTTACGAAATACTTACTTAAGAAAAATTTCGCTCCCAATTTGTGTACGAAAATTGGTAATATGATGGAACCAGGTATACAAGCGAGTCCGAGATAAACTGTATGCAAATAAACATTCAAACCAATGACCGTATCGCATCCATAAGGATCCGAATTGGTTGAATTATCCGACAATGATGATACTATGCAAACAGATGTAGTTTGTCCAGGATTATCGTGTTCAAATTCTTCGAATCTAAATAATAATAAATTATTTTTAACAACAAAATTCTTAACAGACGATAAATATGAATGATTTATATTATAAAAGTATATATTAACCTAGTAAATAATTCTGGAAACCAGACCATAAGAGTATAATAACTACTTGTAAGACCGAATTGTATGGCACAGGCAAGCAAAGTATTACGAAGATAAGGTGGTTTGTAAAGTGACATTGTTAATTCCCAAACTTCCGAAAAAAGTACTTTCAAATCTTTTTTCTTATGAAGTTTCAATGATCTTGTACTCTTGTCCTTGGAATTAGATTTCTCTTGCAAACATTTTACCTGTAATGATAATAAAACCAACGAAAAAGATAAGAGAATGTGATTAGAAGTTTTTCGATGAAATATAATAAATCCAATTACCGGATAAGTTTCTGGATCTTGACCAGTATTTGTTGCATAAATCCATTTGAATACTTCCAAGGCAGCCTCGGGTTCACCGCACTCGAGTAAAAATTTCGGGCTTTCCGGGAATGCAAAAAGCCATAATCCTAAGACGATTGATGGTAAAGCACATAAAGCAACGAAGAGATTCCATGATTTGAAGTGAAACACTTCGGATTCGTACCTCAGATCTAACGGTACGATTAACCATGCGATAACTATAAACAATATATGATTATTTGTTTTTTTTAATTTTTGTTTCTATTTTTTATATCAAACGTTATGAGAGAAATTGTTTTAACTTACGTGGTAATAATATTACACCGACCGTCCAAAACATTTCCATCAAACAAAGACACCTTTCGCGATATTTCGTTGGTTGAAATTCACCTAAATATGGGAAACAAATTCCCATAGCTCCTGTTACCCTGTGTTTTACAAATCAATACGAAATAAATATAATATACGTTGAAGAATACTTTAATAATTTAATAGTGTATTGTACGCGTAAATAATTATTATTATTATCATCATCATCATACACGAAGGAAAACAATATTAAATTTGTTGTATATTAAATATGCAATATTATATTATTATATTAAATATATTTTCTTTTTTTTTTTCGAATTATTTTGTTAAATTAATTTTTCCAAAAAAATATTGACGACCCCATAAAAACATATATTTGATTACGTTAACGTGTAATCATTAAATTATTAATATAGAACTGGGGACAAATATTTGTATACTTACGCGAAACCATTGAAAAATCTGAAGATTAGAAAAACCCAAAAGTATTGGACGAATGACGAAATGACTCCGACTATTCCGTCCATTAACAAGGTTGCTATCAATACTACTTTTCTACCTTTGGTATCAGCCAGGCATCCCCATATATATGACCCAACTACCATACCTATATGGAATGAATGAATAAATGAATGAATGAATCAACGAATAAACAAAAATGTGTTCAATAAAATAATATATTTTTCTATCAATATATTTGTTATTTTAAAATTATATAATTTTACCCAACATCGGTGATGCAGTTAACCATCCTTTTGCAGTTGAATCCATTTCCAGGTCGCATTGTGCGGCAGGTAAAACGAAAGAAAGAATTGTAACGCCTATGGCAGTATCCATGTAAATTAGCCCGCATATTGCCAACAACATGTAGTGAAACTTTCCAAATCCTATTTTTAATGATTTAAACGTAATTAAAAAAATAACAAATGATAAGTTTCGTTATGCATATACAAATATTATGCGTGTATGTTTTGTTTTTTTTATGCAACACATTACAGATTAGTATATATAATTATATTTTGCAATAAATATTAATAAGAATAATTGCTTTTGTGATATATTCGTTTGTGAATTTGTAACGCAATCATAATTGCGTGTTTTTATGCAACACACATTATAAATTAGTATATAACGTTAATAATAATTGTTTGTTATTCGTTCATAATTCAACACGATGTTATAAATCTATCTAATATAAGCGAGAGAACAAGTTGTTGGTTTTTAAACATTAAATCTTACCATTTGAGATAATTATGATTGATATATTTAATAATATTGTTACACGTCTGACATGATCATAATTATTATTGTGAAATAATTCATTGTAAGTTATATCTTTGTGAGAATCGTTAAAAAATAATTGAAGAATTATGCGAGATGATTTTTTGATAAGAGAGTACACGTTGTTTTTTTTTTTTTTTTAAATAATTTACCTGTTACGGTGATTGCATGCTCGAAGTCGACACCTCCGTCTTCCAAGAAATCGAGCCCTATAAAAAAAATAATAGAAAAAAAAAAATACATACTAATAAGATAGATTAAAAAGTTGTCTCATAAGATAACGAAGATTCGTTTCAATTGAATTATTTCTTTTTTGCAATAATAAGAAAAAATATTGATACATTTATAATACATATATTGTTCAAATAATTTAATATAATATATTTCTTTGCAATTAAATCTACCATAAGACGTGTTATGTAATTGAAAAAAAAAAAAAATAAACAGAATACGGTAAAAATGTATAAAAATATATATCAATTATTAATGAAATAAAAGAAAATATTTTCTCGATTCTAAATCCAATTGATTAAAATTTCATTCTACATATTAACAAGATATATATACATATATGTGTATTAATCAAAATATAATACACTAATAGTATATCGATATAAAGTTAAGGGTTAAATTTATCTCATAAAAAACGTATCCACCTGTAGTTTGT